CCAGGAGGCGGAGGTTGCGGTGAGCCGAGATCGCGCCATTGCACTCCAGCCTGGGTAACAAGAGTGAAACTCCGTTTCAAAAAAAAAAAAAAATAATAATAATAATAATAATAAGTTGGGTGCAGTGGCTCATGCCTGGAATCTCAGCACTTTGGGTGGCCGAGACAAGTTGATCACTTGAGACCAGGAGTTCAAGACCAGCCTGGCCAACGTGGCAAAACCCTATCTATACTAAAAGTACAAAAACTAGAAGGGTGCACACCTGTAATCCCATCTACTCAGGAGAAATTGCTTGAACCTGGGAGGCAGAGGTTGCAGTGAGCTGAGATCATTCCAGTGCACTCCACCCTGGGCAAGAGACCAAGACTCTGTCTCAAAAAAACAAAACAAAACAAAACAAAACAAAACAAACCTCAATCAATCAATCAACCAATGAACCTAAATGGTTTCCCACATGGGCAGCACCAGACCCCAGACCCCTTAAGCACCTTCATTTTCTTGGCGTGGAGTTTCTCTTCCTTCAGGTGCTCACGCAGAATCTCTCGATGGTTTACCTCCTGTTCTTGGGCAAACTCACAGAGTGTGTAGCTCCGTACAGAGTTATGGCGCTGAGCCATGCCCAAAGAGCTACCACCCTGGCTGGGCACGCTGGTGAAACCCTGGCGCCGGGCAAAGTAGTATACAGTCACCTGGTCAAAGCGTACATTCTTCCTCCGCAGCTGCTTCTGCCGCTTCAAGATGGATGTGGCTGAGAAGGGAGCACAGAGAGACGTTTATTATTATTATTATTTCTTTTTTTTTGAGACAGAGTCTCGCTCTGTTGCCCAGGCTGGAGTGCAGTGGCGCCATCTTGGCTCACTGCAGCCTCTGCCTCCCAAGTAGCTGGGATTACAGGCGTGTGCCACCACGCCCAGCTAATTTTTGTATTTTATAAGAGACGGGGTTTCACAATGTTGGCCAGGCTAGTAGTCTCAAACTCCCGACCTCAGGTGATCTGCCCACTTCAGCCTCCCAAAGTGTTGGGATTATAGGCGTGAGCCACCATGCCCGGCCAAGAGATGTTTTATTAACTCAGGGAGGACCTGTTTGGGGAGCTTGTTCTTTCTCATCCATCTAGGCTCTCAACTCTTCTCTAAACATGCTCCCTATGCCTAGAGAACTGTCTAATATCTTCAAATCCTAAATGCTCTTTTGGAAGGGACCTTGAACCTCAGCTGGTTCATACCACTGCCTCCATACTGACTACACCTAAACAGATGACCACAAAATCCATTTTTAGACATCACCTGGGAAGAGGATCTCTAGGTAATCTTTTGTGGATATGACAATCTATAGCTTTACTCTCCAATACTGCAGCTGCTAGCCACATGTGGCAATTTAAGCTAATTAAAATTAAATTTAAATTTCAGCTCCTCAATGATACTAACCACATTTCTTTATTTTCTTTTTTCCTCTGAGACAGGGTCTTACTCTGTCACCCAGGCTAGAGTCCAGTAGCACAATCATGGCTCACTGCAGCCTCAACCTCCCAGGCTCAAGTGATGCTCCCACCTTGGCCCCCAGAGTAGCAGGGACTATAGGTGAGTGCCACCACATCCAGCCAATTTTTGTATTTTTTGTAGAGACGGGCTTTCGCCATGTTGCCCAGGCTGGTCTCAAACTCCTGAGTTCAAGTGATCTACTGACCTCAACCTCCCAAAGTGCTGAGGTTACAGGCGTGAGCCACTGTACCCAGCCACTAACCACATTTCAAGTGCTCAATAGCCACATATGGCAACTGGCTACAGTTGGACAATGGTGATACAGAACTTTTTTTTTTTTTTTTTTTTTTGAGACAGAGTCTCGCTCTGTCACCCAGGCTGGAGTGCAATAGCGCAATCCTGGCTCACTGCAACCTCTGCCTCCCGGGTTCAAGCGATTCTCTTGTCTCAGAGTAGCTGAGATTACAGGTGACCGCCACCACACCTGGCTAATTTTTTTTTGTATTTTTAATAGAGATGGGGTTTTGCCATGTTGGCCAGGCTGGTCTTGAACTCCTGACCTCGGGTGATCTGACTGCCTCGGCCTCCCAAAGTGCTGGGATTACAGGTGTGAGTCACTGCGCCTGATCAGAACATTTTTATCATAACAGAAAATTCCACTGGATAGCACATATCTATAGCAGGGGACAGCAAACTGTCAAGTGCCAGACAGTAACTATTTTAGGCTCTACAGGCCATGAGGTCTCTGTTGCAATAAATTCAACTCTGCCACTGTAGCATGAAAGCCATCAGGGACAATGAGTATGACTGTGTTCCAATAAAACTTTATTTATTTATTTATGTTTGAGATGGAGTTTTGCTCTTGTTGCCCAGGCTGGAGTGCAATGACATGATCTTGGCTCACCACAACCTCTTCCTACCGGGTTCAAGCGATTCTCCTGCCTCAGCCTCCCAAAGTAACTAGGATTATAAGCATGTGCCACCACGCCCAGCTAATTCTGTATTTTTAGTAGAGACGGGGTTTCACCATGTTGGTCAGGCTGGTCTCGAGCTCGGAACTTCAGGTGATCCAACTGCCTCGGCCTCCCAAAGTGCTGGATTACAGCCATGAGCCACTGAATGCGGCCATTCCAATAAAACTTTATTTACAAAACAGGCATTGGGCCAGATTTAGCCCATGGGCACATGGGCAACCCCTCATATATAGCATCAGAAGTTCTTCCCAAGAACTAATTGAGCTGTAAGAATTAAGAAATCTTGGCAGGGCATGGTGGCTTATGCCTGTGATCCCTGTACTTTAGGAGGCCGAGGTAGGTGGATCACCTGAGGTCAGGAGTTAGAAACCAACCTGGCCAAAATGATGAAACCCTGTATCTACTAAAAATACAAAAAATCACCCAGGCGTGGTGGCGGATACCTGTAATCCAAGCTACTCGAGAGGCCTGAGGCAGGAGGTAGAACCTGGGAGGTAGAGGTTGCAGTGAGCTGAGATCACATCACTGCACTTCAGCCTGGGCAATAAGAGCGAAACTCCGTCTCAAAAAAAAAAAAAAAAAAAAAAGAATTAAGAAATCTGGATTTGCCCCAGTTGTCCAAGCAGCAAGCATTTATATTCTGCTACAGCTACAATTTCCTGGAACTCTCTGGGACTGTAGTGGGGGCAGGGTAGAGTCCTGGACTCCTTCTTCAATATAATTTAACCCATTCTGGGAACGAGCAAACCATAACAGAAGTAAAATCAGCTAGAATAAATCAGACTTTAGTCTATGATATTAGAGAAATGAGGTCCTCCAAAAGGCAAGGAAAGATGATGATTAAAGGCATATCCCCAAGCTACACAGAAGCTGTCTCGAGCTGCCATGGGTTCTGATGCGTAGGGAATATGGGTATAGGCAGGGAGGGAGCAGCTTACTCACGTGTGAAGCTGGCAGTGGTAGGAGGATTGAGGCTGTCGCAGCTGTCAGCACTGTCACTGCTAGAGATCTCATCATCTGAGTTGGAAACTGATGAGCCCACATCCACATCATCAAACTTCCTCTTGAGACCCGAGCCCGTGAATGCATCCATTGGTTTCAAAGGGGTTTCCTTGGGGAGCCCACCAAGTTGGCCCCAAAGCCCCTGTTCACCACCAGCTAGCCAGGTACATTAGGATTCTGCCCAGGGGAAAAAAGGAATCAGCATTCCTGTCCACAGACAGACCCCTCCCAAGTCTATACACACAGGTCACTGAAGGAAGAAAGCACCTGACTTAGCGCTGATGTCTGATTTCTCAAGATTACGTTATTTCTCTACTAACTCTGACCAACATTCTCCTACTTTTGTTTCCCTTCAGCCCCTCCAGTCTCAATCACTCTTAGAATAATGAGATGGGTAGCAGCAGAACCTTTCCCAGTGGAGGGAAGCCCTCTGCTTCCAATCCAGCTGGGGTCTAGGCTTCATTAGCCCAGGAATCACAGTAGCTGCTCTTCTGATCACAAGAAAGCTCTCCAAGGGACCAGTGAGAAGAACTTAAGATCAAAAGCACAATTATCACTGCTGCTTGTTTGATTAGCAAAAAAAAGGAAAAGAAAAGCAGAATTAGGCTTTGCCTAAACCAAGACTAGACCCAGTTATTTATTTGTTTTAGAGACAGGGTCTCACTGTGTTGCCCAGGCTGGTCTTGAACACCTGGGCTCAAGCAATCCTCCTGCCTCAGCGTCCAGAGTAGCTGGGACTACAGGCATGCACCACTGCACCCGGCTAGACCGGCTTATTTTTCCTAGTGATAATAAGGCCTGGCATTTCCCAAAGTGCATATCTTACCGATATTAATAGCTTTACATGGAAATAGGACTGCTATGTCAAAAGGGTTTAGAAAATTGCCTATAGTGGAACCTCTTAGAGGCTTTACATATACTAATAAGGATGGTGAAGCCTGAGAACACAGAATGCAGTGTTTCTACAAACCTGATTGTGGAACCCACTGTTTCCAAGTTACTTTAGGGTGCATATAATGCTTAGAGTACACTTTGGGAAATACTGCTCTATGCTCTCAATTTTGAAGGACATTAGCAGTCAGGAAAACCCTTTACCCAGACCTTCACAAGTGTAAAGTATCTCACCAGGCTTCTATAAAGGTCAAATTTGGTACCAAGTAATGGACCCAAGATTAGAATCTGCATGGCTCCAAAACCCAGAATCTTTCCCAGCCTCATACTTCTCCATAAAATAGGGGTCATCTGGTCTGTTACCATTCTCTGTGCAAGGACATTGTAGCTTTACGATCTTTGCCCTCTATAAAGAAATCAGCAAGGGGAAAACAAATAGCAAGAGGAGTAACCATTTATTCTGGTTATATCAGTGTGGCAAGCAGTGTTGTTTTCAACACGTCTTCATACAACCAAGGAGTCTGAGATAGTCCATTTCCTAGGTACACATCTTTTTTTTTTTTTTTTTTTTTTTTTTTTTTTTCATGTTTTTTTTTTTTTTTTTTTTCTTTTGAGACAGAGTTTCACTCTTGTTACCCAGGCTGGAGTGCAATGGCGCGATCTCGGCTCACCGCAACCTCCGCCTCCTGGGTTCAGGCAATTCTCCTGCCTCAGCCTCCTGAGTAGCTGGGATTACAGGCACGTGCCACCATGCCCAGCTAATTTTTTGTATTTTTAGTAGAGACGGGGTGGGTTTCACCATGTTGACCAGGATGGTCTCGATCTCTCGACCTCATGATCCACCCGCCTCGGCCTCCCAAAGTGCTGGGATTACAGGCTTGAGCCACCGCGCCCGGCGGTACAAATCTTTTTATTTCATCCTTGGATTTAAGTTCCAGAAGGACACAAATCTGCTCAGCACAAATGCTGTCAGAGCTGGAGCCATGTGTGATGAGATACGAACCCTCCCCTGCCTCAGTAATGCCAGAACCTACCCAGACTATGATCTCACCAGTTGCTAATTATGCAGCAGGAATAACAACACTGCCCAGAACGACAGGGCTGCATTACTGCAGAGCAGCTACCCAGAATATACTGTGGTGTCAAGAGATGCTTGCTACAGCGCTGTTTTTCTGGACTGTGTCTGTTGGAAGCAATTTGCCTGCTCTTGGATCAGCTCTACAAAGTCAACCAGACCTAATAAGTACCTTAGAGAAGATATTTCCTAATCTATCCAGATCGCATCAAATTCTGCATTCAGGTCACAAGATGTACCTAAGAAACCTCAGCCATCAGAAGTCTCAGACAAGCACATTCCTGAAATAAATTTGGCCAGGAAAGAAAAAAAATAATAAAGTATTCGATAAAAATTGTAATTAAATTTAAAAATGGGCCCAAAGTATCAGTTCAGTTCTTCGGGTTACTGATCTTACCATCAGAGGTCACATTCTTAGGGCATGGTAAGAAAGGAGGAAGTCAAGGGCTTTTTACGGGTTAAGATTTTAGCTGGGTTTAAAGCTACCTATCAACAAACACATTTCTCATTCCATTCTATTGTAGGGGGAGGAGGAACCCCTTGTGATCGAATACTTATGTGGGTGGTATTTTTTAGAGATAGAATAATGTGGCCCACTGAATTTAATTTTGCCTCCCCACTTATCAGCTACATGATAAATCAGCCTGAGCCTCAATCTGCTTTCTCAGAGGGTTTTAGGCCCACCTGAGTTTTAACTAGTTTCAGTTAGTGCTGCTACTAGAAAAGTGGCTTTTGGCCAGACACAATGGCTCACACCTATAATATCAGCACTTTCAGAGGCTAAGGGAAATAGATTGCTTGAGTCCAGGAGCTAGAAACCAGCCTGGGCAGCATGGAAAAACTCCATCTCTACAAAAAATACAAAAATTAGCAGGGTATGGTGGTATGCGCCTGTAGTTCCTGCTACTTGGGAGGCTGAGGTGGGAGGATCGCTTGAGCCCAAGAGGTCGAGGCTTGCAGTGAGCTATGACTGTGCCACTGCCCTCCAGCCTGGGCAACAGGGCGAGACCTTGTCAAAAATAAAAATAAGAAAAGGAAGGAGCTAGCTAGCTTCTTCCTTGACCTGGACACACTCAAGGATGTATGACTGTAAATAAATGTATACTCCTGTTCTTTCCTCAGGTGTCCCTGGGCTTCTAGTAGTGTTTCCTTTGAATATTTCTCTTTAAGTCTCATATAAAGTTGGGTCTGCGCCAAAATCATCTTTATTACTAGAATTCTCCATGGTCAGCAGGGCATGGTGGCTCACACCTGTAATCCCAGCACTTTGGGAGGCTGAGGCAGGCGGATCACCTGAGGTCAGGAGTTCGAGACCAGCCTGGTCAACATGGTGAAACCCCCATCTCTACTAAAATAAAAAATTAAGACAGGTGTGGTAGCGGGCGACTGTAATCCCAGCTACTGGGGAGGCTGAGGCAGAAGAATCACTTGAACCTGGGAGGCAGAGGTTGCAGTTAGCCAGGATCGCACCACTGCACTCCAGCCTGGTGACAGAGAGAGACTCCATCTAAAAAAAAAAAAAAAAAAAAAAAAATGGAATTCTCCATGGTCTTAACCCTCAGGAGTATCAGTTCTCTTTAGGTGACTTTTTGTGAACTTGGATGCAGGAAGGATTGCTGGCTGCTTGTTCTATTCTCCTCCTCTTTTTCTCTACTTCTGGAATAGTGGTTTCTGGGCAATGATAGGAGGTAGGTAAGAAAGAAGAAAAAAGATGTGACACCTAGGAGAAAAATATTTTCTTTAAGCTGTCTGAAAACAACTGGAACCTATGGCTATTTGTGTAAATAACATGTATACTGACTATGATCAAACTCTTCTATTCACGTGGATGGAACTCAGTAAAATCCTCAAGGAGACTCCGTTGCTCTCTTCACCCTACCCAGGCTCTGTTAGCAGCACTTCCTCTGACATTGGCTCCATTATTTTTTAAAAAAGAAAAAAGATCTATTATGTCCTGACAACAACGTAAGATTAAATTTCAACCTGGCTCCCCTTGTCCAACTCCCTGATGTGAACTTGACTTTTAGATAAAGATGTTCACTGGACACTAAGAACAAACCTCCTGTTCACTTCCATAGTGCCCCGAAGAAATCCTTCTTTGGGAGGCTGAGGCAGGAGGATTGCTTGTGGACAGGAGTGCAAAACCAACTTGGCCAACATTGAGAGACCCTGTCTCTGTATTTTTAAAAATTGGCCCGGTGTGGTGGGGCACATGCCTGTAGGCCCAGCACTTTGGGAGGCCAAGGTGGGCAGATCACTTGAGGCCAGGAATTCAAGACCAATCTGGCCAACATGGCAAAACCCCCTCTACTACAAATACAAAAATTAGCTGGGCATGGTGGTGTGTGCCTGTCATCCCAGCTACTCGGGAGGCTAAGGTGGGGGGATTGCTTGAACCCAGGGGGCAGAGGTTGCAGTGAGCTGAGATCGCACTGCTGCACTCCAGCCTAGGTGTCAGAGCCAGACCCTGTCTCAAAAATAAAAAACAAATAATAATTTTAAATAAATTTTTTAAAAAAGAAATCTTTCTTTGCAATAGTAACAATTAAAATAGTTTCCAGACTTTCCAATTCATCAAATTAATCTTTCAAACTACAACTAGAAATCAGTCATTCCTATCTGTCTCACCTATTCATTGGTAGAGGATCAATGCCTGTGTTTAAGAGAGAAACTTGTAAGTTTTAGAGCCTGGGAATGCAGGTAAAAACTGACAGTTAACTGTCAAAATGACCAACTCAACAAATGCTTTTGGAGAAAACAACGCAATCCTCTATAAAAGCTTTTAAATCCCAGTGAAATTAAAGGTCACCTGACACTTTCTGGCTACGTGTCTTGTGGTCTTTTCTCAAGGGTTTCTGGCTGAACATTTCCCAATGGTATATGAAATAGTTAAGATCCACAGCATAGAAGACATTAGGTTAGCACCGTATAAACAGGTCTACCAGCATTATGTGTATTTTAGTACTAGATCTAATTTTTTTTTCAGGCCTATAAGGACTCCTATAATAACCAAAACAAACAAACAAAATTTTTAAAACCTAGTATATGTGAGACCAGCAAGAGGGACTGGCCCAAGCAAAATTTTCTAGAATGTATTTGCAAAGTTTAGGTAATACAACTTTCTTTCTTAAATGAGTCCAAAGTAATAAGCTACATCCCACAGGAGAAAGCCTCTCCACTCGACTGGAATCCAACCTTCTGCTAAAGGTCAAGAAACCAAAATCTGTAGTAAGATGGTCAGGGCTGCCATCTGTAGCTGGGTTGGAGGAAGGAAGGGTTGCTGCTGTGTTATGATAAACCTGAATAAAATGACCTGCCCTGTTTCTCCTTTTACAAGATACTGTGGTTGATTCTCAAATACTATAAATTTGATGGATCCATGTGTCTTTGTGATCACCAGGATCATGAGCTTATAGAGCACTCAAATGAAAACCCTCCATTTAAGCTAGGTATTTAAAGAAAGCCGTGCACCCACCACCCCCACTCCCTATTCACTAACACAGGGTTAGAATTTGGCTTTCCATGCCTAAACTACCATCGTGTGGAAGACAGGAGATCTTTGTAGGAAATGGAACATGATGCTGCATTAACTCTCAAGGATATCCAGTCATTTATCACACCGGCACAACCAACATCCTGGCTTTGGAGATTTACAAAACAGAAAGCCAGGAAAGAAAAAATCGGAACTATGCAATTACCTTGAACTGAAAACTGCAAGACAAGGGGACAGTGTTGTCTTTTGGGGATAACTTCTAGCATTTCATATTGAAGAACAGTTTGTGTGTCACACTGCCACTCTCAACCCCTTTAAAAGGATGAATCAAGACCGCAGCACTAAAAGGGACGGGTGGCAGTTGGCTGCGTGTTTGGGCCTATGAAAAAAGATCAAGCTAGCAACCAGGGGAAGCGATGCCTTCCTTTTCCTACACGACGCCAGAAATATGGGAAACATCAGGAACCAGAGCGAAGAGACATGTCAAGTCACCAGTTCCCTTTAATGAACACGCCTGCGGAACCCTTCAGCTCTCGGCCCACTTTCCTCTGATTCCCGCTAACCTTCCCGCTCATTCCAACCCTCTGCAGCCCCTACCCAGCCTTCCTCATCCCTTCCTGCCTGCTACTCACAAATTCCCAACCACTCCTCCCACATTTTCCTCTGTTCCCCCTCCCCTTCCTTCACTTTCTTCCATCCTACATCATTCTCCACTCCATTCCGAACTCAATCCTCATCCGCAATCCTGCAGGCTTCCAAGCCGCCCAGCGGTCTCCCTCGAGCTGCCCCCGCAGTCCGGGCCCGCGTCCTGGGTGTCTCTCGCTCCCACGCCTCTACCCGAGGCCGTTCCTTCCCAACGGCACCCGACCTCCCTGCCCCCCGACCGCTCCCGTCCGAGCCTCTCATTTCTGACCCCTCCATCCGCACGGCTCTGGGCTTGACCACTCCTCCACGGCCGCCCGAGGGCCGATCCCGAGAAAGGACGAGGCGGCACCCTCCGCCCCGCACCCCTAGGCCCATTACCGGCCCCGCCGCAGCTGCCTCCTCCCGTGATGGTCTCTGCCGCCCCCGCTGCCGCCGCCGCCCTAGCCCGGGTGGGAAGAAGGGAGGAGCGAGCGAGTCCGGGGCCCCGCGGCGACGGCCGGGGAGCTCCCAGGGCGGCAGGGCGGGGAGGGAGGGCGATGGGCAGCCCGGCCGGCAGGCAGAGAGGGCCGGGCGGCTCCGGCAACTCTGGCGCCCCCAGCAGCAGACGCCCAGAACCGCCCCGGCTCCGGCTAACAATAGGCTCCGGCCGCAGCGCTCTGTCTCTTATAGGCGCCGGCACGTCCTGCCCTAGCCCCGGGGCGGGCTGGGAAATGGAGTCTACGTGCCAGCCCCACGCCCGGCGGCATGCCGGGAGTTGTAGGCAGTGCCTGCTGCAAAGCCGAAGCCGGCGGGCAAACCTGCTCCGGAGGCGGTGTCTCTGCTGCAACCTTTAAATGGGGGAAGAGAGGAGCTTCTCGGCTACACATCTTAGATAACTAAACGAATTCTCCTCCAAAGCTCCCTTTTCCTTTCACTAGGACCACACACTCCTTGCTCATGGGGTCTTAATCTTCGGCAATGTGACTTATTGCAGCCTGCCCAAGTTACAAAGAATACAAGCAATATCTTGAGTTATATACTTGTATGAGGGACTGCTTTGAGTGTTTTCTTAAAAAAAAAAAAATTGCCATGATCTTCTCAACTTTGCAAACTATTCTATTTATTTATTTATTTATTTAAATAGAAAAGGGGTTTTCACCAGGTTGCCCAGGCTGATCTTGCACTCCTGGGCTCAAGCGATCTGCCCGCCTGGGCCTCCCAAAGTGCTAGGATTATACGCATGAGTCACCGCGCCCGTCTGCAACCTATTTATTTATTTATTTATTTATTTTTGAGATGGAGTCTTGCTCTTTCACCCAGGCTGGGGTGCAGTGGGGGCGATCTTGGCTCACTGCAACCTCTGCCTCCCGGCTTCAAGCAGTTCTGCCTCAGCCTCCTGAGCAGCTGGGATTACAGGCGCCCGCCACCATGCCCGGCTAATTTTTGTATTTTTAGTAGAGACAGGGTTTTGCCCTGTTGGTCAGGCTGGTCTCGAACTCCTGACCTCGTGATCCACTCGCCTCGGCCTCCCAATGTGCTGGGATTACAGGCATGAGCCACCACGCGTGGCTGGAACCCATTTTTTTTTT